TGATGGCCTGTAAATATTCATCATCCGAGGTTCTTTTGAATTACAGTGGCTTTTAGTTAAAATTGAGTAAAATGTACCATTTGAATAATAAAAACCTCATTAAAGGGAAGCTAAAAGAATACTTTTCCTTTGGTACAAGCCAATTAGGTACCCTCATAATTAAAAAAAAAAAAGTCAAGCACATTATGGTTTCATATTCCATAAGCCTGTTTTTAATTAATAGAGGTGACATGGTTTAGGTGCTGGGTACATATTTTGCCTCTGGTATTGTGCAATTAACATTAATGAAGGGAATGGAAATGTAGTGAAAGAGGATCGTGTCTCCCGAGTCCTCTGTGCAGGCTCAAGTTTTCAGTGGGTTTTCATTCTTGGGGATAGTTCGAGACAAAAATAAAGGTGCCCAGAAGAGGACCTGCGGCAGGTGTAATATTAAAATTCTCCATGGTCACACTGCCTGAAACTGTCCCAGGGACAGGCATCCACAGATTTAGGGTGTTGTTTTTTTCTTGTGGATAAAAAGGAATGATGCAGAGATAGAGGGAGCCTCCATTTAATCCCACCGGCTGGTAAATTACTGGGGCTGTGCTCACTGTCAACTTAAAAGCCCTATTCTGCTTTTCCCAGTTTACAGGGGGAGGAAACAGGTTCACCTAGGCTCAGTAACTGGCTGCGAACCTGCTAAGAAAGTAACTGCCCTAGGCTAAGAAGGCCAACACTTGGCTCTGTCCACCCCAGTTGGTATATTGTATTAGTTACTCGTGGTTGCAACAAAATGCCTGACAGAGGCAACTGGAAGGATTCGTGTGGACTCACTGTTTCAGGGGATTTTATTCCATGACAGCAGAGAAGGCATGGAGTGGGGAGTTGCTCAATCCGTGTTGCGTGCCCCCACCCTGTGGCCAGCAGGAAGCAGAGGCGAGGGCCGGAAGCAGGACTTGAATGTATAAGCCATAAAGATCCACTCTCAGCACTCATTCATGCCTGCTATGCTCTGTGACCCAAACACTCCGTGTTCCCATATGGCTTCTGCTGCTGAAGCCTGTATTCACAGCCCTGAGGCTGTGGGTGGCATTCCGTGTTCAAGCCAGAACCATCTATCACCTTGCTCTTATTCATTTATTTGTTTGCTCATTTATTTTTGTTGATTCAGATATTTGAATTCTGACCTCAAGAAAGTCGCCTCTAATTATATTACTAATTCAACAATAATGTAATGTGCAAACCTCCTGTCTTCCTGTCAGAACAATGGCAACAAGAATGAATGTCACCCATGGTTATCACGAAAGTTAAATGAGCTATGTACCCAAAATTCTCAGCAAATGTCTATTCCATGGTTAATACCACCCTAACACCTCCCCAACAAGGGGAGGAGAGAAAAAAAAAGCGGCTTTGAGAACTTGAACAGAATATCAGAGTTATAACCAAAAAGAAGCTGAGATATAATAATACACTTGCATACACTCCCCCCCCCCCCCCCCCCCCCCCCCCACACAAAAAAACCCCCCCCCCCCCCCCCCCCCCCCCCCCCGCCCAAGCCACATTTTCTAAAGATTCTGCCTTGCTGCAAAGCCTCCCAGGCTCAGATCTCTACTTTGGTGTGAACCAGGGCTGATGCATGCAGTAGAAAGCTGATGCCCCAGAACACTCATCTCCAGTCTTCAGAGAGCAATGGTACCATTTGGAGCTTATGATTGAAAGCCACGGTGCAGGCCGTGTATGAAAAAGGTGTTATCACGGACAAAACCAACTGACCACAACCACTCCACCATGCTTCGTTTGAAGTGGCCAAAAGTTGGAAAATGGATCAAGCAACAGAAATGAACATCATGATCTCTAAACGAGATCCAGATTGCCCCATGATAATGAGATTTCATGAATACTTAAAAACGTGATTTATCAAGTATAGTTCTATCTAGCTGTGCTGTGCATGCTTTCCATTAAGCATTTAAGCAAACTTCACTATCAGTTCTTTATAAACTTGCCAGAAACATAGATGAGAGGGAATGCTTCCAAACTTGCTGTAGAAAGGCAGTGTTAGCTAGACGGTCAAAAGCAAAGTCTTCTGAAGAAAACAACAGACCAGTATCCCATAGGAACAGACAAAATCTTCAATAAAATACTACCAAACTAAATGCAATAATGTAAAAAAAAAAAAAA